ACTAATTTGCGAATCCGGCATGGGCTGCTCGAGATCTCTGCTAGCCGGCTCGAGAGATGTGTAGAATCCATCATTTTGCCACTGGAGTAAATATAGCAATTTAAAGCTTCTGAATTTCAAGACCAGCAAGAGTATGAAGCTTTGTGAAGCAGAAATTTGAAGTTTATTGAGACTAGATTGCTTCTACACCTCTCAAGCATTAGATAAACCAGAACTCGTGTCCCAAAGGCTTAGGCAGATCATACGTGAAGCTTTAGAGAGGCTAATAGAGACAGGGAAGAATTTTGGAGTCTTTCTTGCCAGTGGAATTCCCTCGAGCTTTTCTACCGCCGAAAGCTTCCTATTCTCTATAGTCGAAGATCTTTGTCGTGTTGTAGGCCCTTCCTCCGCCTCCTATTTTTAGTTTTTCCACTGGAGCTTTCCTCTCTCTGCATGCCTCGTCGTCGATATTTCCTCCTGCAACCTTTCCTGCAGCCAAAATTCCCTCTTACGGACCCTAGCAGCTAGAACTCTTTCTTGCGGGAACTAGCTATCGGAACCTCCTACAAGCTGCCTATTGCTGACTTTTCCAGCTGCCGACCCCTTCTTCCCATTGGAAACTCCCTTCCATGCAAGTTTTAGCTGATGGATTAACTGATGGCTCACCCGTTACTGGCTAGAAAATCCCCCCGCTGCAGTAAAACCCCCCGCCGCTGCAGTTTTCCTGCCGGCTTCTGTTGTTGAACCTACCTGCAAACTACAGGATTCCTTGCAGATTCCTAGCAGATTTCTGCAGTTATTGTCGCTTCCCAACAGCGTTTGCTTCAGCTGCCCAAGCATAGATGACTCAACCGCCATCACCGCGACTCTTCTCGTACGCGGCAGTAGCAATCCCCACTGCTAGCCCTCATCTTCGGATTGCGATCACTATAGATTTGAGCGAATGAAGTGCATACGTTGTGAATTGGGTGGACCGGTACTACCTTCAACCTGGTGATATCATCATCCTCCTTCATGATCGCTCCACTTCTGTTATATGTGGCGTTGATTGCAGATCGATAGACCTCTCCATGTCGAAGGTCGCAGCTACTACTGAAGAGGTTGACTCTGAGCAGCCGCAACAAGAATTTAAGGAAGATTTTAATGCCTTCACTATCACCAAAACACACATCTCGCCCAGCTGCTTGTAGGTTGTAGAGGATCATGACATGAATGAGAGGCCCTGCCTCGAGGTACAGAGGCTTGGGCTTAGTGTTGTTATTATGGGCAGCAGAGGATTTGGAGCGTCTGAAAGGAGTGGCAAAGGGAGACTTGGTAGCGTCAGCGATTACTGTGTTGGTAGTGTGGTATCCTAACGAAGCTACAGATGGCCTGACTGAAGATGTGATCTCTTCGAACACTATAACTGTTATTGTGATTAACAAAGCTCCGAAGTTTTTTCCTTGCAGCATGCCCTTCTTCGAAGCTTTACCTGCAGCAGACCCTTTCTCCAGAGCTTTTTCTGCATCAGGCCCTTCTCTGAAATCTTTCATACAGCGCGCCCTCCTCCAGAGCTTTTTCCTACAGCAGACCCTCCTCCAGAGCTTTTCCCTGCAGCAGGCCCTCCTCTGGAATTTTTCCCTGCAACATCGTTTTCTTTGGAACTTTTTCCAGCAGCAGACTCTCCTCCGAAGCTTTCTCCTGCAGCAAACCCTCCTCCGGAGCTTTTTCCTGTAACAACATGCATCAGAATTTCCTCTGAAATCATTCCTGGAGTAGACCCTTCAAAGTTTTTCTTTTTTTTTTACATATCATAACCTGCAGCTTTTCCTGTTGATTGTCTACTTTCCTGCAAACTTCCCTGCAATATTACCTATAAAAGTCTTTAACTTATCTACAGGCACTGCAGAAAATGCAGTCAAAGACAACCACAATCACTTAGAAGTCAGTTTTTCCTAGACGTTGTCTACTTCTCTACAAACTTCTCAGCAGCATTACCTGTAGAAGTCTTTCGCCAACCTATAAACACTGCAAAAACTGCACTCAATCCCTAAATGCTCTTGAGATTCATTACCAACTACTGGATGAAACTTCAAGTTCTACCTCACAAAGAATTTCACTCCCTCATTGATTGTCAACTATATTTCAATTTGAGGGGGAGTGTTAAAAGTTATATTACAAAATAATTTATAGTCATTAGGATTAAATATATTTCTCTGGATTGAATTTATTATCTTTCCTATTTTAGATTTATTTTCTTGGTTTGAATTAATTTTTTTTCCTATTTTATGCTTTCCTGTTTTATGTTTGTTATGAGGATTGAATTTATTTCTTTTCTTATTTATGTTTTTCTATTTTATGTTATTTCTCTTATCTCCAAGTAACTATAGGAATTGATTAATTAGAGATATAGATGTTATATCTTTCCTTTCATGTTATTTCATTTTTTTTTGTCTTTCCGATTCTAGAATTCATGTAAGGGCATTTATACTACCTTTTCATATCCATAAAATAATTTCCGCTAAATTATGAAAATCAACAATAAAATAACTTAAAATCCTTTGAAATATTAGAATTGAGTTAAATATCCTAACCTATTTAATTTTTCAGGTGAAGTTCGGGTTGACCCATCAACCCTAAATTAACTTGAATTTGACCCGCCACTCAGATTTAACTTGAAATTCACTCAAAATTAACCCAAAATCGATCCGAATTTAACATGAATTGTTATTATTCCTTTTGTTAAACAGGTTATATGAATGTGGTTTGGGTTGGCCGATTGAAGGCGGATTGTTGGGATTTTCGACAGGTATAATATTCGAGTCGGGTTCGAGTCAGACCTATCAGGTTGGGTAAGCTTTGGGTTGGGCCCCACCCGCTGACCTGAATTGACACCACTAGAAATAAAACCTTGAATTTTGTGAAATTTGAAATCATCGGAAAAAAATAGAAATTCACTTGGATATTGTATTATTAGATCACATGCAACTTTATAGTTTGGGCTTTAAAAGGGTCCCCTTGCCAGCTTAAGAATTAGAGTTACAAATTTGATGGCAAAAAGACATATAGTCATTATTTGGTATTTAAAAAATGGTATTTATGTGTTTAATTAGCCTTAATTTATGATTTAGATAGATCACATAAGGATGTATTTACACTAGGACAATTTTATATGATCATTTTTAAATATGATCGAATTTGAAGTCGAAGAGCAATCCAATCAAATTAATTGGCAGATTATCAAAATTATTTATGAGCTTTTATATGTGTATGTGCATCCGACTTTGTTCATTTGAAGTATCTACGAAATATAATTTAAATGATTATTTGTATTTTCTAACAGACACATATTTTTTGTCATTTTTTTTAAATCGAAGTAGTACATATTATATAATTAAAATAATTCAATTTTTAAGTTCTTTCAAAAAGTTCATATTTTAAAGAAATTTATAAATTCTTTATTAAAATTATTTTATGAGTCCAAAATTTTCAATTTTCAATTATTTTGTAAATTCAAAAGCCTAAATTTGAACTATTTGAATGAAAACAAGTCTTTATCACACTAAGTGGGGTCGGCTACATGAATCCACTATTCCATCGTGTCCTATCGAGTGTCATATTTTTATGTAATTCTAATAAATTAATATCATTGTTATACAACATGCCCAAGTCTTATTCTTTAAGTTTAAAGAAGTCAAAGTTAATTTATTTTTGCAATTCCAATAGTCCAAATTCAAAGAGTCAACCACCCGGTGTCTCTTAGGGGGCATTGGGGAAAGTGTCAATCTTCCCAACTGGTTTAGAAGACAATGCTCAATGTCATGAGACATTGTGACAGGAAGACAATATTTTTTTAACCCAGTAGTATTAAATGGCCCTTCGAGCCTAATATTAACCTATAAAAAGCCAAAACACAAACATGCATTTCCTTGGTACTTGACTTTCTCTGAACATTACTTAATTTTCTGGAAAAGTACTTGAGTTTTCAAGAACAAGTACGTAATTTTCCTGCATTTTATAAAAAATAGCAAAACAAAAACTCAAATTTCCCTGAATGGTACTTTATTTCCTAGACAAATTTTCCCTATTTTTTATAAAAATTTCCCGAACGATTGCATAAATTTTCCTGAACGGTACTTAATCACCATGAAAGATATTCAAATTTGCTAGAACGGATATTTAAAAAAAAAGTCACTTTGCCTTTTATACCTTTTCGAGCGAGGCGATGTCGACAATGGCGAAACGACGGAATCAGCAAAATAAAAGCATTTTTTCTGATTTTCTGAATTGTTTTCTTAGGTTTAAAAGTATTTGAGAGATAAGAGAGGCTTGTCTTAGTGCATGGCTATGTTTGGGGTTTGTTAACAAAGGAACAAAGATGGGTTGGTTCGGAGAATTCGACCTGGAGTACTTCTGTCGTGCAAAACAAAAGCCAGCCATTTTGGTCTAGGGCAATGTGAAAGATAGAGCAGGAAAGCTTGATTTGTGCACAGTGAAGGAGAGGAAATTGTGACATTCTGGGTTTCTCTGCGAACAATGAAGCTTCCACTTTGGATCCATAAAAAACAGGATAAAAACAGAGGGCTTCGGACTGGAGTCGAAAGGGAACAGCAAAATACGCGACAAAGGGAGGCTAGGCAGTGAGATGCAATCGTGTGAGACAATTGTGGTGAATAAACGTTGGATCGAGCAGCTCAAACACGGAAGACTAGGTTGCAGCAAGAGGCAAGCACAGGTAAGTAAGGCATATGGTAGTTTTGAAGTTCTCTGTATTTAGTGGTTCTATGGTTGTCTTCATGGCTAACCCTAGCCGCGACTGTATCTGAGGCATTGGATCAACTGTCACTTGACATCCTAGAGTAAGAGCAACTTCGAAAATTGTCGTTACTAAGATTTTAAACTAATCTTGATTCCTAGAAATTTAAATCAGATATGCCTTAAAGAGCTGCATTCTAGATCACAAAGGTTCGTTTAATGAAGAAAACTACAGAGCAGAAGGCTAGCTGAGATAATAATCAAAAAAGCATTCTCTATTCGTTTACCTGCATAACAGCATCAGGTCCTTGAGTCCACCAACTAGCGCATGCATCAAACTGAGAAACAAGCATTTCCTTGTTGGACCGCATCTAACCAGAACGGATAAGGCAAGCTTGAGATAAAACCAACATTTTTATTGAAGACAAATAAGTTCAGAAATATGGCAACATTTCATGTCAATCTGCACAGCTGAACAATAAGATCACCAAAAATAGACTTAAGAAACAGCTAATGGCTTATGCCTTTTTCGGCATCTAACCATTAATATAAAAATCAACAACAGCTACCATATACTGATTGAGTTACTGAAAAGAAGCTAATATGCATAACCAACCTTGTGTATTGCAAAATTCTCACCACAACGTGAATCAATCACCGTAACACCATCCATTGAAACAAATTTGTGCTGGGTAAATGGCCACCAAAAAATATCCACAGCCTTTTCTCGCATATCATGCAACCTCTGTGTCCTTTTTCTGTGATAAGACAGCATCACCTCCTGCAGGGAACTAAATACTTTGCTAGATTCACAAAACCAGTCAATTAAGTTGTTTGATGGCTCTTCAGGAAATTTTGGTAGTACACAAACAGGTACCCTAGAAGAAATAAGCTATGATAAGTAAAATCCACGAACAAAAATGTAACAGAATCAAAATCTACATGTCCAGCAGAAATACCAAATTCAAAGAGAATAGAAAACTATTTAACCTAATGCAACAAACAAGTTAAAATTAAAATGAACATTCATGCAGAAAGTTTACATCAAGGGCACATTTGGTTGCTTTTAAATAGAAACTTACTTTAGAGAACAAAGATTTTTGTTTGCTCAATTTGCAGTTAGAAAGCAAAATCTTTATATTCGAGATGTTTGTGGATTTTAAAATCTATCTCTATTTCTAAGTAAAATTCAACCAGGTAATAGAATTCAGAACGAAGGTAATATTTTGGCTGGAACAGAATGCTGAAATGTGAATAATAAGTGCATATGATAGATCAGGATCAAACCAAAACATTCCCGTCACGAATAAGATCATAGCATCTTAAGAGTAAAAAAACTTCCCAGAGAATTAAAATAGGACCAGAACCTTATGCTCGCATGACTAGCAATGCCAACTGCTAGAGCCCACGGATGCCCTAAAGGAATATCCCAGACAAGATGTTTTAGAAGGAAAAGAATGATTGCTGTAGAAGGAGAGGACCTTACACTATAAAATGAAATCCAGGACAACATAGAATGGAAAAGACATAACATGAAGCTATTAATTCAAATCAGATAGTTATGTATTCAAAGTGTGAAAGTTATTATATTTATTTAATATATTCGGTACATGTATCAAGAGTGTATGTCTGTAGATATTTTTCTTGTTGTAAAATAGACTACTTCCATTATTTTCTTCTTAGATTAATCTATACATTGCCGTGTACCAAGTGAATTGAACCAATGAGATGAATCTATTCCAGCCCACTTCTTCTCGACAAGTTATCAGAGCCCAAGTGCATGCATACTAGTGTATCTACTGCAGCCTTTACAGTTGCAAGCTTTCCCACTAACTACAGCCATTATCATTTCTAGTGCCTTTCCGGCCAATTTCAGAAACCAAATCCATCATTTTTTTTTTCTCATTTATACAACCGAGCAGTAAGAACCAGAACCTCCCAGTCGTCGCAGTCATCCCAACTTAAAATTTTACTTCAAAAAATCCAAATCTATTATGTGGTTTCAACCACAGCCCTTCTACTTTCTGTCTCAAATTTCTACCACCATCCAATCTCCATTGCAACATATAGGGTCTGCTTGGGGCAGCTGCAGATTATATAAAAGCAGATTATCCTAACAATCTGATAGCAGATTATCAGGATAAGTTGGCTTGTTGTTTGAGGGAGCTTATTCAGAATAAATTATTGGCAGTCGTTGTTAAATAAATGACCATCCTGCCACTGTATAGTGATGTTGTTTGCAACAGAACTGCATGAGCACCAACATAGATAAAACAGAAGCGACAAATCAATATAAGATATTTTTATAGAATATGCATAAATCTTTTTTGAAGAAGAATGAGTTTAGAGAGAGAGAGTTGTTGAACCAATTTGAGTGATGGGAACTTTGGTGTCATCAGCAATATGAATACTTTCAATGGTGGGGTATTCAAATTTAAGGGAGAGACTTTGTAAGCCAAATAAAAATGGTACGAAGCACCTACATCAAAAACCCAATTGGAAGTGGTGGTGGGCAATGGATTGGTGCAAGGAAATAAGTTTATAAGAGGAACATGGAACATGAGACATGAGGAGAGCAATTTTGGTGATGTGAAAAGTAATTTTCTATTGAATGAAGTTCAGACATCAATGTGTTGAATGGCCTTGTTGATTGAGACTTTTAAATTGAGTAATGCATCCTCGAGATGGTTGGAGATTGATGTTGATCAAAGTATTTCATGCTACAAGTGCTATATAAGATGCAATGAAAGGTATAAAGTTTGGGTAGAGTGCACTCATTGTGGAGCTTAGGATAAGTTGGTCCTAGCAAACCAAAAACAGATATATATGTTTGGAACATTATCAATGTTAGGTAGATTTTGTGGTAGGAAAGGATAAGATCTATCAATGTAGCCAAGAAGATTGTATCTATGCATATGAAATGAAATTGGAAGAACCAAAAAGAGTAGTTTATAGGTGTGAGCTTGACCTAAGAGTTGGTGCTAATAAGGATAAAGTGAATTGGCATTCAAAATGGCCAATCAACTAAGCCACGTTAAAAAAAGTGAGACTTTGCTAGCCCAAGATTTGAAAATTTCCAATAACATATTCCAACTGCTAAACAAATCGATTCATCTAAAAAAAATTTACCTAGCACAGAAAACTAGGTATTAATAAAGTCGAAGATGCAAAAAATCAAAGAATTTGAGTTAGTATAAACAGCTAGTAATTCAACTTGAGGACTGCGGCAAGACAGTCAACAATAGTATTTTCTTTCTGTCTTGTTTAGTTAAAGGCAATGGACCGTAAGAAGGGATTTCAAATGAAAACTCTACATAGCTATGCAAGAAAATAAGAAATATGCTCGATTCTTAATAGTCCTTGAGAAACCCAAAATCAAAGCAAAAAAAGAAATGAAGACAAAATCAAATAGAGAAAAATAACTTATATTTCTTTGATTAGATACTCACAATAACAAACTCAACCTAGAAAAGAAAAATTAAGTTTCCAATTCCACAACCAAGAGATTAATATCAATCAAGCCAAACAGATCCCCCAATAGAAAAACACTCAAAAGCAATACTTCACGAAACAGGAGACCTCACCGGATCGAGATAGACGCTTCCATGTACGATGTCATAGAGCTGCTTTAAGTACCGGTGGTCCAGCTTCCCGCCATCACCAAGGAGTGCCGGCGACGGCGCTAATTCCTGCAAGAGGAATAGGTCTTCATTAAAACAGTCCCCCGTGTCTCTGCATCTTCCTCTTGCGGATGAGCGATGATAAGAGAAGCAAAGATTGCACGTTAGGTATGGTGGTCGTGAAGAGGAGGAAGAAGGCGAGAAGAACCGCAAATTGAAGAGAGAAGGGCGAGGGAGAGCAGAGGGCACAGGGGAATATTGTCGGAACGCTAGAAGGAGACGCGGGGTCGATCCCGAGTCCCCCCAATTAACAAAATAGCGAACGGTGTTTGGGAGCGGCTCCAAAACGCAGGACAAACGCAATATTCAAACAGTGTAGCGGCCTTTTCAAAAATGTCACTTCGCACCTCAATAAGCTGCCCCAAACAGGCCCATAGTCAGGACATTAGGAATCAATGTTCAATCATACAAAGTCAACGCAAACCAAATGATTGGAGATCTGTAAAATGTCCAACCTATGTATAGGCAAAATGAAACAAATCTATTTATGTATATATATACATTTGTATATCTAGACATATGTATAAATATATATCTATATATGTATATATATATATATTTGTGTGTGTATGTATGTATGTATATATGTATATACCTGTTGGTTGGCATTCACAGTATAAGACCCCTCAGGTCGGGAGTTCGAATCTCCTCTGCCACAATTGGCCTTAAAGAGGTGGTACTCGAATTGTTAGGCACATTAGGGATGGTCAGAGGGTTATATAATAGCCACTGGTCATTCCTTGTGGTTTGGCACTATTTTGAATCCGGATCGGAATCTTTTGCTTACCACTATGATTTGCAATCCGGATCGAAAGCAGAAACACTTTCTACAAGATTACCCTTACATTACATGCTGGTTTATTTGGATGGCTCGTAATGATATTAAACATGAGGGTAAACCCATTCAGATTACGATGGTCTTTACAAATGTTATTGCCTATATTAATAAGCTTTGGAGGACGGGTAAACAAAGCTTCTTTTCGTGCATTAATTATTTTCTTTTTTTGGGGCCTACGGTAATGGTTGAGAGGAGTTTTCCTCATCTCCCGATTTTGGTGAGATGGCGGCCACCTCCCAGGGGGTGGGTAAAGTTTAACACTGATAGGAGTTGGAAATCCAGCAGTGTTGGTTGTGGAGGCATTGCTATACTTTTCTTTTCCTCACCCACTTACGCTGACACTCCTATTGAGGCAGGGGCTCGGGCCATCTTGACAGCTGTCAAGATAGCTCACTCTCTCAACTAGTTTTTTATTTTCTTTGAAAGTGATAATCGCAACTTGGTTGACATCCTTGTTAATGGTGCCGAGGCCCCTTGGGCAAGGCCCCGTGCCGAGGCCCCTTGGGATATTCTCTAATATATTAAGAGGATTAAACTCTTAACCTCTCATATGGCTGTTATTTGGAGTTTCATTTATCATGAGGGGAATCAACTCGCAAATTGGCTTGCTATCTTTGGTAGCGCTACTAATAATTGTTGGGTGGGATATGTTCCCCCCGCCCTTTACACGCATTGCTAGTTGGAGACATGATAGATGCTCCTTATGTTCGTTGGGATGTTTCCTCCTAACATATTATTAATTTGTATTATTAATTTGGTATTAATTTGGTGGTATGGTTTGGCCTCGGCTTTGCAAATCATTTGGAATGTTTTCATTTTTCTATTTCTGTTTCGGGCTGGCTTAGATTTCTGCTGTCTGAGGGAATGTAGTTGCCCCTCGCCTGCTACTTATAGTAATAGCTGCTTTTGGTTTTGTGGAGCCTTGTTTGCTGGCTTGTTTGGGTGCCAGCTCTTGCACCTGAGGATGCTGGTCGAGGGTCTCCCTTGCGTATCTATTCCCTTGTGGAATCTCTTTTTTTTTCCTTTGTTTTTATGCTTATATGTCTACAGTGGCACTCCCACGCTCCTTTCAGGACCACAATGTGTATTGGCTGCTCTTGACTTCATCGGCTCACTGTCTACTATCTCGATTCCTCTTTTCTTCCTTTGTGTTCTGTTTTGCAGGATTCTCTTGTGGACTAAGATGCATGTGATGTTGATGCCATCTCAACAAACTCTTCGTAGCACTGGTGCTCTTTTCTCGGTTTTTTGGTGTCCTTTGTTAATTTTTTTGGTGTACTTCTTATTGTTGGTTATACGCTTATTTTGGTATACTGGATCTCATGTATTTTTTGGTACACATTTTCCTTTTTATTTTTTT